GATACTTTATATGATATTTCAACATGTATCTACACCACTTACTAACCAATGAAAGACTTCACTTTGCTAGCTTACATGTTTATATTTGTAAATATATAGTGTTAAGAATATTTGTATGTAAAACAGTCCTACATCGATTATAGCATATAATCATTAGTAATCTCTATATATAATAAAGTTTACATAGTGTTTTCAAAACACACGGTTTAACCTAAATATCTCTTAGTCTCTCCTAATTCCATATGGTATCTATAACCAATTAAGAGGTAATTATTCGTCGTGTTTTACCCGATTGTCCCACTGTCTTCCAGTGAGAATTTTCTTTTTACAAACCATGTCATCACTTTGTTCTCACTTTCCAAAATTCTCTGGTAACCACTGGACTGCTGCCGTCATCCGCCGCTACTAATTTTGGTGATCTTCCGACAAACTAACCCTACTGGCAAAAGTGTCTCCTTCGATTCCGACGATCTCAACGATTTTTCCATCGCCGCACTCGCCATTGTGCAACTTTTCCAAATCCAATACTCATGGCTACTCCTCCGAACTTTACGCCAAACACGATGATTTCCTCAAGTGGTATCAGAATTATTAGAACTCAAATTCTAATGCTTCGATTGCACATAGTGGTAATTCATTTGTTTGCTTCTCTCAATCATCTTTTCTTGGATCTTGGGTCCTTGATTTTGGTGTGTCTGATCATGTTACTGGTAATAAAAATATTTTTCATTCCCTCTCTACCTCTAGTTTCTTACCTACTATAACTTTTGTCAATGGTTCTCAAACCTTATCCAAAGAAATTGGTATTGTTCAAATTCTATCTTCTCTCTCTCTCTCTCTCTTACTTATGTTCTCTATGTACATAATTGTCCATTTAATTTACTTTCAGTCAGTCATTTAACTTGTTCTCTTGATTGTATTGTCGCCTTCACTAATAGTAATGTCACCCTGCAGGATCGGAGTTCAAGACAAATAATTGGCGTCGGATGTGAGTCTCAACGCCTTTATTACCTCTCAATGTCATCTCAGACATGCTCAGCCAAAGATTCTCCACTCACAGTCCATGCTCAGTTAGGTCATCATAGTCTTCCCAAATTACAAAAGTTTGTGCCAAGTTTATCGAAAGTATCTAACTTTCATTGTGAGTCATGTCAGTTAGGGAAACACACTCGTAGTCAATTTCTCAATTGAGCCGATAAACGAATTTCGTCTCCTTTTGCTTTAGTTCACTCGGATGTTTGGGGTCCCTCACATACTATCTCTACTCTTGAGTAGGTATTTTGTCACTTTTATTGATGATTTTTCACGTTGCACATGGTTATTTTTAATGAAAAATAGATCAAAATTATTTTCTATTTTTGAGAAAATTTATAAAGAAATAGAAACTCAATTTGGTGTGTCTATTCGTACCTTGAGAAGTGACAATGCTCGTGAATATTTATCCCAACAATTTTAAACTTTTATGTCCAATAATGGTATTCTCCCTCAAACATCTTGCCCTCAATCGACAGCTTGTAGAAACCACTTGGGCCCTACTTCTCCATGGTAATGTTCCACATCGATTTTGGGGAGACGTTGTGCTAACGGCATCTTACCTTATAAATTACATGTCATCATATGTCCTTAACAATAAAATTTCTCATTCAATCATTTTTCCTTATTCCCCCCTTCATTCAATTCCTCCCTGAGTCTTCGGTTCTACATATTTTGTACACAGTCTTTCTTCTGATCTTGATAAACTATCAGCTCGATCACTAAAGTGAGTTTTCTTGGTTATCGTCGATCCCAAAAAGGTTATGGTTGTTATCACATACCCTACAACGATACCTTATGTCAGTCGATATCACCTTCTTCGAGTCTAGTCCATATTTCGATTCCAACCAAGTAACTTCGGAATCCCTTCAGAAGAGTACTCTCACACCTCTTCCGGAAGTCCCATATGTCATTATCCCTCATCATTCTAGGGTACCTGGCCCACTAGATAACCTTACGGTTGACCCCCCGACTTCTCATTCACTTCAAGCATATCAGCGTCGTCAACCAACGTCTGTCGTACATGTCATTGAGGTCGTACTTGTCCATGAGGTCATATATGTCTCTGAGGTTATTGCAGACTCTCCTCCGACGCATCACCGGATTCGATCCTGCAACCTAAGTCTGATCTTCTGATTGCCCTTCGAAAAGATATACGTCAAACACGAAATCCTTCTCCACATTATATTGATTTATGTTATCATCGTCTTTCCCCTTTGCAGTATACTTGTTTGTCTTATTTGTCTTCTGTTTCTATTCCTAACACTCCAGGTGAAGCATTATCTCACCCTGAGTGGAGGCAAGCAATGATTGATGAAATATGTGCTCTTCAAAGAAGTGGTACATGAGAAATGGTTCCTCTACCCCCTGGGAAATCTTTAGTAGCCAAAGGATACACTCAAATTTTTGAGTTGGATTATAGTGATACCTTCTCGTATGTAGTCAAGATGGCATATGTTAGACTTCTTCTAGCCATCGCAGCCATGCGACATTGGCCTCTTCATCAACTTGACATCAAAAATACATTTTTACATGGTGATCTTGAAGAGGAAGTATATATGGAGCAACCACCTGGGTTTGTTGCTCAGGGGGAGCCATAGAATATGGTTCATAGGCTACACTAGGGATGTCAATGGGGCAGAGGGGAGGCAGAGGATACATTCTCATCTTAATCCTCGCCCTCAAATTTACTTTCCATTCCCGTCTCGGATTCCCCCCACGGAGGGATTTTGTCTCTCATCCTTGTCCCCACGGATCCCCACGGTTTCTGCAGAGATCTATCAACATAAATTTTTATTTGTTATTTTTAACTGAATTAATAGAAAAAATTCAAAAATTAACCATAAAAAATTAATAAACTAATCATCTACGATAAATATATTGTTTTAACAATATTTAATCTTGAGATTCATGAACACCAAACTTTCAAACTTAAAAAAATTTAAAATAATCATTTAGAAATGTTAAATTATAGAAAAAATTATATATTAATTAAAAAACTTGTTATATAGAAAAAATTTAAAAAATAAGTTATTTGAAATGACAAATACATCTACATAGAAATGTTAAATTATATATTAATTAACGATATTATGGTATTTTAGTGTGGGACGGAGACTCTATAAGACGGGGGATATGTTCATCGTCTTCATCCCCGAAGTGCCTTTGGAAGAACTTTATTCCCCATCTTCGTCCCCGCAGGAGAAATTCTCTATATCATAAGCCCCAAGCGGAGAATCTCCGCGGGGATCTCCACTAATGGGTGCAAGTTGACATTCCTAAGCTACACATATCTCTTTATGGTCTTAAACAATCTCCGAGAGCTTGGTTTGACAAATTCGACACTGTAATACAACAATTTGGTATGGTCCGTAGTGAAACTGATCATTCTGTCTTTTATCGTCACTCAGTCCACGGGTGTATTTATTTTATTGTGTATGTAGATGATATTGTCACAACTTGTAGTGATGAGCAAGGAATACTCCAGTTAAAACAACATTTTTGAATCAATTTCAGACAATAGATCTTGATAAACTCTGGTATTTCTTGGGTATTGAGGTAGCTCAATCTAAAGATGATTTGGTGATTTCTCAACGGAAATATGTTATGGATATTTTGGAAGAAACAGGTTTGTTGAACGCTAAACCAGCTGATAATCCTAAAATTATCTCGCAGTCATTTGTCCAGACATTTCTTTTGCAGTCAGTGTGGCAAGTCAGTTCTTAAATTTCCCTTGTCATAAATACATGGATGTTGTTAACCGAATTCTAAAATACATCAAATGTGCTCCAAGAAAAGTAAGAAATAAAATGTGGTTGTAAGATCAAGCGCCAAAGCAGAGTATAGGGCCGTGGCATTGGCAACATGTGAACTCATTTGGTTAAAACAGTTGCTCAAAGAGCTTCAAATTGAATAAGCAATGACACTTGTATGTGATAATCAAGTTGCATTGCACATTGCTTCAAATCCAATCTTTCACGAGAGGACCAAACATATTGAAATAAACACTTTGTCATAGAGAATATTGAATCTGGCGACATCATCACAAGTTTTGTCAACTCTAATGATCAATTGACAGATGTGTTTACAAAATCTCTAAGAAGTCCCAGAACTTTATATGTGGCAAGTTTGGTGCATTTGACTTGTATACTTCAATTTGAGGAGGTGTTGATATTTGTAAATATATAGTATTAAGAATATTTGTATGTAGAATAGTTTCACATCGATTATATCATGTAATTAGTTGTAATCTCTCTATATATAATAAAGTCTTCGTAGTGCTTTCAAAACACACGGTTTAACCTAAATGTCTATTTATCTCTCCTAATTCAATACCTGCAATAGCACCCATTAACAGAATGGTCTCATCCCCAGATTATTTAGAAACTATCAGAAGCTCCAACATGTGTTCAGCATTCAAATAATAGACATCTCAAAGATAGAACACAAAATGTTAGGAAAAAAATTGGAGCAATTTGGGATGATGTTTTAAGCATTCAAGCAATAGACATCTCAAAGATAGAACACAAAATGATAGAGAGAAAAAATTGGAGCAATTTGGGGTGATAAATGACATAATTTTATCAGCAGACACTGAAATGTTTACAATCAGCATAAATGATAATTGAATAATAAAGGCAGTCCTGTCCTAACAATATTAAGTACACCCTTACAGTTGTTTGCGGTCAACATCTGCATAACAGCTTCTCATTTCAAGAAGGGAAAAAAAGGGGGGGGCTGCAATGCCTCACTTCAAATATGGCTAATAACATGTCCAGACACTAATACTGATCAGTGAGTCTACCTACCTTGCATTTGATGTATTACCAACATTTTCTGTAATAATACTCCTTGCAACTTCCCTAATTTCCAAGCTAAACTTTCCATGAGCTTAGTAGTCTACTATAACTAGTTTGTGCCCAAGAGAGGGTCAATGATTTACTCGAAGAGTAGTAAGAACTCTCAGCTTAACACTCAACAGCTCCGACAGCATCCTCAACAATCACAAGGCTAGACATTTTGAAGTAGCTTCCCCTCAATACATGGGATAACAATCATACTTTCTAACATAGCGATAGTAAACAAATCAAAATCACCTCTGATTAGGGTTAGCTACAGTTGGTGGTGCTTCCGCAAGTCCAGGCGATGGAGTTTGTGGCCTCGAGATCATTTCAAAGTCAGGATGAAGCATGTCCACTCCACTCCAATCAACATTAGCTGTTATGCTGGAGTTAAAGAATCATACATATCAATTCGAATAAGACATAAGACAGATGAAGAAAAGGGAGAAAGGATCAAAGAAAGGCATGAAAACAAAAAGGATACAATCTGTTCTCCACATATCTGTTATGCTAACTTCAGCATCTGATAGAAGCCAATAATCAGCATCATTCTGCAAAAATTACCAAAAATATTAGCAACAAATGCAGTACCACTGCATTTCATAAAGAAATCACTCTTAACCAATCATTAAATACCAAGTTTGAAAAACAACTGCAGGACCACATCAGAAGAACTTAATCAATACGAAGGATTTACACAAGTGCAACCCATAATCCTAGTATGAAGAGCAAGGGGAAACCCCAAACCTTGATTATGATATTACTTACATCAGCATCTGAAGGGACAATCTTCATCATGCCCCCAGGAAGCTCTTGGGAAGCATTTAGATCAGAGTATGTCTGGGAAGAGAGGAGAGCTTGAGGTTCAAGTCCGTTACCACTGCATTCAGCAGGAACCATTTCCGTCACTTGTTGCTCATTAGACCCTGAACTTGAAGCAAGAGGTAAGCTCACGGGGGGCTCAGCACCATTAATCTCTTCAAATTTCTCTTCAAATTGACTGAAAACAGTTGAAAAAATGCAAAATTAAATGGAGAATGCATTATCAAAAAGATATACTACAAAACTAGCAAAATGTATAACCATGGGAAAATATCACATGAAATACAATGTGATACTCTGATTTCTAGATGGGCAACATAAGAGATAAAACTAGATATATAAATAAAGGGAACTGCTAATGTACTTCCTCTTAAAAATTAAAATGAGTGCACTAGCAAACCTACACCTTTTCATTTGCACTTATCCTTATATTGCCATTATACCCACTATTTTAAATTATTTTCAAGTAGAAATAGGTATGTTTTTGTCCAAATGAAAAAGGATTAGATTGCCAATGTACTCTTAACTATAAGTAGGATTACATTAGCAATCCCCATAAATAAATAAATAAATAAATAAATAAATAATAGCCAAGGTACCTGATAAGGTAGACATCAATGGGACCCATTGTGCTCCTAAGAATGATTCTATATCTCCTCTGTAGATAGTCAACGGCCTAATGTATATGGAAGCAATAATTTTCCATCATGTGTCAGAAATACTAGTTTTCAAAGATCAAAAACCTTTCATCAGTTGATTCCCTAAACTTACTTCCTCAGGATCAGGGACTTCCAAGGTGGTTCCATGTGGAGCTTTGATTGCTATCAAAGTTTCATTCTGCTATAAGAAATGCACAAGTATTAAAATAAAGAGAAACCTCAATAACAACATGAAAGGAGAACCAATAATATTCACAGTAACAATGGATTTAGGGTTTAGGGTGCAGTGCAATGTAAAAGCAAAGAACTCACCTGGAAGCAAGGTAGGCCCTTAATATCTTCCTCGGTCACAAAAAGGAACCTAAAAGTAATTGAAAATATGTTAAGTTTGTCATTTACCAATAACAGAATATGTTTCCTTCTGTAAGAGAGAACAAAGGAAAAATGAATCTAAGAACTGGATGGGAGATTACTTCTGGTTATTTTCATCTTCACTCAAACCTCTCAGCCTTTCTTGCATTTCCCTGTGCATAATATAATAATAGTTTGAAAGCATTAGCCAACAACAGTAAAGAAATAGTAAATTTCTTCCTTTAGTAAAGCCAAGCAACAAGTTAACCTTATTTGATCATCTAGACTCTGCTCATCCAAAGAAAGTTTTTCAACTTCTGACTGCAAAAGAAAGCCACAAGGCCAACAGATAATTAACAATATGTTGCAACATAACTACAAAGTCAAAGCCACGAGGCTGGCAACATAATTAACAATATTTCGTATCAATCAGGTTATGCTGCTAAAGTACTAAGTCATGCTAATTGATATAAAACGTCTGTATTTATGATTGGACTGATTAGAGTTACATAACCGCCTATGCCCACATGTGCCTCTAACAACCTGATATACATAATCTGACAAGTAGAACTACTAGCAAAATATCAAACTTAATTTAACATAAGAAAACATAAAAATTAAACATTATCCTTATCGCAACATAGCATATTGACACTGTCCACATTCTTCCATCATGTTAGAGCATGGGGATTATGAACACCCAACTTGATTGTTAATTTACGAAAATTCTTTGTGCCCAATGATTTTGTGTATATGTCAGCCTGCTGATGCTTGGTTGAGACAAAAGCAGTAGATATTGCTCTTGTCTGCATATGCTCACAGATGAAATGACAATCTATCTGTGTTTGGTTCTCGAGAAAAAACAGATAAGACGCAAGGTGAAGAGTTATTTGGTTATCGGAGTGAATGATCATAGGATATTCAAAATTGACTTGTGAATACTGAATATGGAAGCAAGCATCACAGGTACAAGATTTCACTAATGGTGAGCACCATGGCACAGTGCTCGGCTTCACAAGAGGATCTAGACACAATGGTCTTCTTTTTAGTGCTTCAAGATATGTGAGTTGGCCAAGTTTTATCAACTAACACAAGACTGATTTTCAGGGTAACGGCCAAGAAGCCCAATTTGAGTCACAATGCGCGATAAGGCTCATTCCCCTCTAACAAGATAACTCATTGATAAGTGAGGGTTTTAAATATCAAATAACACATATGGTAACGTTACAATGTCCATGAACTGGCTTAAATATGCATTGAGTATATGACCTCTAGACACATGATAGTAAGATAGATGAGGTGCTTTATAAGCCTATGATAACATTAAGGCTATGTTTGGGAGTTTGGAGGAGAAGGAATGGGAGGGCTTTGAAAAATAGGAAAGATTGGGTGAAAAAGTAGAAAGATTTTGCTTAGGAGGGTTTGTTTTTCTTCATAACACCAAAAATCCCCTAATTTGGGGGAACTCAAAATTTGTATTGGAGGAGGGTTTTGGAGGGTTTTGGGGGGCTTCATCAATTTGTTCAAATATAATTTTTGTTGTTATAGTATTTCAAAAACTAAAAATACATTAATGATAAAGATTATTTTATCATTCTAAACAAAATCTTTTTTTCAAAAAATGTTAAAAAATTCTTATATTTTTAAAAAATATATATTTTTGGAAGCCCTCCCTTCCCCTTCCCTCCAAACTCCTAAACATAGCCTAAGTATCCGAATAAAGGGGTCCTAAAACCAATACTAGCCTATGAGTTTTATGGTGTTTATATTTGATAGCATCGCAGAGCTGCAGGCCCTAAATACGGGATAGCAGTAGAGTGGTAGCAGGATAGCCACTACTGCAAAGAGGGGGGAGAGGACTTTTAGTTTTTTTTTTCAAAATCATTGAAAGGGGGTGCAGTAAGAAAAGAAAAAAAGGAGGGGAGAGTGGTCCATCATTGGACTTGCAAAAAGTGCAATATAAGAAACTGTAAATCTAAAAAGTTTCCTATTTTTAACCAAAAAATTGTCCCCTTCTCGATAAACATAAGACAACTAAAACTTTCTTATCCCCCCTCCTCATTTCTTCTTGCAACATCCTTCTTTTACATTTCTCCTTTGCCAATGAGTTTACAAGATTCTAGCCAGAAAGCACAAGGTCGTGGCCAAAAACTACCAGTTCATAGAAGGGAAAAAGCAAGTTGCAGACAACATGGATGGGCCCGAGCACACAAACCCTTTCTACAGCTGCAATTGAGCAAATCTGATGTGAAATGTGACAGCAAATGTTGCACCTGGTTTACACTGAGCATCAGCGTTTAAAGAATATGCATCAATATGTGTCTGTTGTCACTATGTATCTCAAGTTGCCGAGTTGTAGAGTATTTTAGAACTATTTGTTAAAAAGAAAAGTCTTGAGCCTTGGTGTGCTTGAGGCTGTTATTCAATTACAGCTTCAGATTCAATTTCTCTCTCCTACAAAGTTTCTAGGGCCACTTTAAAAATATCTGCCCTTTTCACAGCAGATTAATGCTACCTTCATTACTAATCATTTCTAATATTGAAAGCATCAATCATGATAAACTTAGAATTTGACTAACAAGAGTATGGAGCCAGTAAATGTTGAGTGCAGCAAATAGACATTTTGGATGTAAACAAATATCCATGAGCCATGTCTTATATATCAATTAGTTCATTGGTTCGATAGGTCTCTAGAAAACAACATCTACATCACTTACCTTAAGCATAGAGATATCACCATCCATACTACCAGGCGTAGAAGATTCAATTCCTCTGCATGCCACAAGATTTGGTGTAAGAATTTTGTTTTAACACATACATCTAAACAATAAGCTAAACAATAGAGAAGCTGTACATATTTTGGAAAAATTACAAAAGAGTGTATCATATATTACTTCCAATGTATTCTGTTCTTGAGATTCTTTTCGATGAGACCAATGCCTTCCAAAACATTAGTTATGTCATATATCCTCCTCTTTTGCACCTATAATAAAGGAGAATTTAAGTACATAAAGGATACAGAAAGAAAAAGTAACAGATATTTTGGTCATAGTCTTTTGTATAAAAAAAGGACCTCCAAAGTTTCTGCTGCTTTATTTAGGTCAAGAATGCCATCCTCTGCACGCTTGATCAAATTGATGAACTTTTTTGTCAAGAGACCTGTGAATTTTTGGTACAATTGTCATGTTTATTCTTGTAGAAATAACCACAGTAGTCGTACAAATCAGAAAGGTGAAATATGAAGAGCTTGTTTATTAAAATTGCTTCCAAAATTACCTAAGGAACTGTCATAACGACAGCTACCAGCAGGAGTAAGAGGGGAAGGGGAACCTGCATGTCATCAGAAACTGTAAGTTGGGGCATAACAAGGAAGAAGCAAATTAGAATTAGATCATAAATTGTTTCCAAGTAGTAAAAACTTTTCAAATGGGGGAATAGTGAACTTAAACCAACTGGAAAATAATGGGAAGAATTTCTGACCAGCATTTGAGATAGGTGTTGGAGGACATGATTTGCCTTCTTTGGAAACCCTTGACTTGTTTGTCCTTCCATCTTTTGCAGACAATGGAGTTTTAAACGGGCTACTATTGGTTACATTAGTGTACCCAGGGCTGTTAGTCCACTTTTGTGACTCTCCTTCACTTTCATTCATTCCATTCTTACGCTTTATGACCTGGCACCACCGTCATGTTCATAAACAAAAAGAGATGACCGAAGATACATGCATAAATTCATAAATTCTTATATAGGTGGAATTGAGGTGATATAGTGCAATCAACCAAGCAAAAGTAACAATTCATCATTTGATATTTGATTTGATATACATGCAATTACAAGTTTATAAACATTAAGCAATTCAATTCCATCATATTAAGCCATGAATGAAAAAAGTTTTTAGTAAGCATTACCATGCCACTCAGACTTAATGAACTACACATGGCAAAAAAATTATATCAGTTAACGAGTTTAAACATGTGTTCAACAGCTCTATAGCCCCGACACCTCTGGAAAAAAGTGCGTTCGTGTAAGTGTCGGTGTCTGAAATCAACACAATACTTGTGATTAAGTTTAATTTATTCATTTTCCAAAATTATTCCAGTGTCGACATGTCATCGTGTCAGTGTTGTTCCATTCCGGTGTCTGTGCTTCATAGTTCAAGAGCAAGACTCCAGATGAACATGCCAATGTACAACAATCTTATACACTAAAAGTGTTTTTGACACAGTTTTGCACAGAATTACCGTACTGGAGAAAGTTCAAAGTCATATAAAAGACCTCCAATTCTGATTAACCAAATTGAATTTGGATGCAGTGTTGGCTGCGAAGTTACTCCTACTTTTCCACGCAAAATTAATGAAAAAATCAACTAAATATAGAATCAAATTTTCACTCCGATAAACCAAAAATAAAAACCACATGAAGATGAATCCAACTAATTCAGAAAAAGAAAAAATAATCGCAAAACAAACATCACAAACACGAGAAAATTATCGCAGATGCAAAATAAACAAACACAATTACGAAGCAAAATCTAACACCATAAAGACTAACAGAAACAACTCACCGGAGATCTGATAACAACTGCTTCCGTCACGTGATCGGCGACTTTCCGAGAATCAACGGCGGCAAAACTGTGATACTCATCCATCGGTGCAAATGGAGGCTTCGTCGAGACAAACGCCAGATGACGCTTCAACGGCGGCCTACTCGTTCCTCCGGCAGGCTCCCTCGGCGAGCCACGGTCGGAAGCTCCAGCGCCACCGGACATTGACTGGTTTCGGAGGGAAATCGGAATTGGTGGAAGTTAGAGGGAAATGGGAAACGATCGGAGGGAAGTAGGGTTTTAGAGAGAGAAAGTGAGGTTTAGAGTTTAGAGAGAGAAAGAGGTTAGGGCGTAGAGAAGGCGAAAGCAGAAAACGAGGGAAGAGGGAGGGAATTTTGTTTCGGATAGATGTGGAGGGAACTACTACGTGAGCAAAAAAGACGAAATAAAAAACAAAATATAATAACTATTTTGTTTCTTAATGCAAATTTACAATTACAACAACATCAGCATTTTCTTTTTTTGGATGATTAATACTAATAATTAATCTATTATTGTAAAACTGTCTCCAAAAATTATTTTTTTACTTTAAATACTGTCCTTTTAATTATAAATTTATTATTCAATATTAAAAAATAATTAATAATAATATATTTCTGAAATACACACATAATTTAACTATTTCGTAATAAATCCATAAAATACAAAACATGATATGTTTAACTATTCAACAATAGATCTATGGAATGCACACACGGTAATATGTCTAAAATAATAATTTTAATTTTAACTATTTATTTATTAGTATATGGTAGATAATTATTTCAAAAATTATTTTTAATTCTTGCTATTTTATTATTATTATTATTATTATTATTATTATTATTATTATTATTATTATTATTATTATTATTATTATTATATAATTGATTGTTTTATATAAACTATCTCAAAATTCTATATTATTTAGTAATAAAAATAATTATAATTATTAGTAATAATTTCGTATAGCGCACGGTATGGTAAAACATTTGAAAAATATTTTTAAATTTAGCTATTGATTTATTTATTAATAAATGTTAGATAATTTTGTCAAAAATTATTTTTAATTTTTACTATCTATGATGATAGATAATTTCATATAAATTACTACAAATTTATAATTATAATGATTTAGCATTTTCTTTTTTTATGTATATTAATAATTGATTTATTATTGTAAAACTGTTTTTTTTACTTTAAATATTATCTTGTTAATTATAAATTTATTATTTAGTAATAAAAATAATTAATAGTAATAGATGCATGAAATGTACGATTAGAGATATCAATGGGGCAAAAAATGTTTGTAGGATGTTTCTCTGCCGTCTCCTTTTTTTTTTCATCTACATCCTCGATCTCCGTCACGTGGGAATAAGTTTTTTCATCCCCTCATATTTCTACGGAGATCGAATTTTAAGAAAAAATTTATATTTTTTTATCAAAATTTTATTTATGATACTAATATTTCATTAATTTTTTCTTTTTAAAAAAATGCAAAAGCGCTTGTACTCCTTGTAGTTAATTTTATCTGGAAAAAATAAATATTTATTTTCTAATATATTAACTTTTGAGTTTAATTGTTATGCACAGCACGGTCAGTGTAAATACTTTTACACTGTCAATGCATCATGACCACTAAATGTATTATTTAAAAAGAAATTAAAATCAAAATCAAACGTTTTAAATAATTCAATGGTTGTGATTGACTGACGATGTAAAAACTGTTTTACAATGTCAATGTATTTCAATTAAATTCTTATCTTTTTTATAAAAATATATGTAAAATTATATAATTATATATTATATCATATAAAATATAAAAATTGCATGATATGGTCGGTGTAACATCCGATAATTTAATTAACTATTTAATTAAATTATTTTTGAATTATTTGTTGAAATGTGTGAAACATTGTTATATGTTGCTAAGTTGTTATTTGGTTGATTATTTTAGTTGATTAATATTAGCAATAATATTAGAAAGTATAGAATATTAGTTGGACCTATTTTGATAGTTAGAAGTAGTAATAGGTGGGGTGTGTAAGTTGAGCTCATTAGAAATAATAATATTATTATTATTAGGATTAGTTATAATAATAAGAAATTAGGTTAATTAGAAAGATTAAGAAAGACTTGGAGCAGTAACGTAGGAAGTGGCAGAGAAGAGGAATAAGGAAAAGAGGCAAATCTAAGTTCGATCAGAAAATTATAGAGCGACCTTCAATCCGAGGTAAGGGTAGGATTCTGACTCTATAACGGGGCTTATGATGAATATTATGTAGGAATTGGGTTGTGTAATATTGTTGTGCGTATGTTGTTGTTGTTATTGTTTCTGAAATTGTGTGTTATCATGTTGTGGATGTTCATGAATTGTTCGCAGAATTTACTATTTATTGTTGGAAATTATAATATTGTTGATATAGTTGTTATGTTGTTAAGTCGATGTAATATTGTGTTGTATCATGTTATTGTGAAAATATTGTTAATCTAATGAAGATTTGGAGAATTGTGTGTTTGAATCAGTAAGCCTGTGAAGAAAATGCGTGAGAAACACTCTGTGCCGAGGGGCACACGAGCATGCCGATCGGCACCATGTATACAGAGGAGTGTGCCGAACAGCACAACTCCATGACGAGCGGCACGGTCTTTTAGTTTTGTACTGAGGGACACACCCATAAGCCTCTATTTTTCCTTTTGTTTGTGTTGTCTGTTTCCTGTGTCTGTTATTTCATTAATTGGTTACTAATTGTTATCACAAAGTTAATGAATTACGGGTAGCAGAGATTAAATAATCAATACTTCTTATGGTCTTAGCATGTTAATCCACAGAAGAATAAATATATATATATATATATATATATATATATATATATATATATATATATATATATATATATATATATATATATATATATATATATATATATAGTAGATATTAAATTAGTTACAAAATTGTTATGTAGCTGAGTTAGCAAAAACAATAGCAGAGATAATTCATGGTAGTAGGAGATGGTTCATAGTAGTAGGATGTAATTGCAGGACCTTATCGGAAAACTATTAACATTATAATAGCATATTACATGTAGCGGGAATAAGTTGACAGTAGGAGTTAATTGTGAAATAGTAACATAAAGCTATTAGCAATAAAACAACAGTAGAGAATTAATTAGTAGCACTAGCAGTAGTAGAAATTGTTGATAGTAGTACTAGTTTATATAATAATTGCAGCAGGTTAATATTAGAGGAACCGTCGCAAAACGTCTAATAATCGAATATAGACAGATAGCTGAATAATTATGTAGTGTTATTGCAATGGGTTTCGATTGTATTTGTGAATTTTACTATGTTGTTGTAATGTCAATATCATTGACGATGCGAATTTGCAAGATATATCGATGTTGTTGAAATGTCTCTAATTCTTGGCAGATAAGTTGTAGGCTTGTGGCCAGTGTTGAATTGTTGTTGAGTTGTTGTTGAATGGTTGATGTTGTAGCTGTTGTTGTGTTTCATAATGTTGTCGCATACATAGCATATCAAGTTGGAAGCTCATGCTCGATAAGTTGCCTGGATTGGCAAATATAAAGTTGAAGGCTTATTCCATGTTGATGCCTCTATTAATTGGCAGATTATTAAGTTGGGAGTTTTGCTATGTTGGTACCACATACATGTGCATAAAAATCAAGTCGCATTTCATGTTGCATCCTGAGTTGTTGTATGGAAGAATTAGTTGTGTTAAGTATTGTTAAAAAGCTGTGAAGTGGTAATTATTATATGAACTGATTCTAATCTATTATTCATCATACATTCCATTATATTGTTTGATATCTCACCCCTTTTGTTTGAATGTTACCCCTATGTTGGTAACGTGCAGGTAATCCAGAATGAAAGTTGTTTACCTCCAGTAGTTCGAGTCGATGTGGTCGCTCTGATACATAACACTCGAAGGGATGAACGCTTGTTGTTTTATTGTTGATTTTACTTTTGTTGCTGAATTTTAAGTTGATTTTGTTAAGTACTTTGTTGTCTCTAAAGTTGTTTTCAGTTGGACAAAGATGTTATGTCATTTGAGTTGAAAATTGTGATTATGCTGCTTAAGTAATAAAGTTGTTTTGTTTTAAAGACTAAAATTATTGTTATCTTCATCTGATGATTTAAGTGTTATGTATTTGTTTTATATGCGATTAAATGTCGTTGTTATAAGTTGAAAGTGTAACATCCTATTTATATGTCGAAATTTTATAACTTTGCTTTATTAATATTCGCCGGGTAGAAATGGGGTGTTACATTAGTGGTATCAGAGTAGGTCGGTCCGTCCGACCAAGTTGTTGAGTCAGTAGAGTAGTATGATAGTTGAATATTGTCGATGTGTTGTTTCTTAGTACGTGACATGTGTGCGACACACTGTTGGTACTTGTTTGCTTTTCTAATCGATTGTATGTAGGAGTTGGTTTGAAGATAAGTAGGGGAGAAGCTTTGCTTCTCGGATATGTTTCGATTGTAAGATGTTGGTTCGGTATGGCGACAGTGCAAGTATTATTGAAGTTTTGTTGTTTCTCGAATTCGAAGGTGACATGGATTAAAGATTTTGTTTGTTAACCAAGTTGGAGCGTGTTGAGTGAGGATGATCAGACATTGTTGATGTTTACTTCTCGAATGATGAGGAGTAATGTAACAGTTGTTGATATATGAGTAGAATGTAAACCCCTAATGTTTCTGAAGGTGATTGTTAAGTAACAAGGATAATTTTTAGAAGATGGAATTTAGAAATTTGTGATGTTTCAGCACTGCTGGTGGACTGCGAAGTTGTCGGTTTGAGCAACCCTTGTGTAAGATGTCGATGTTTGAACGGTGATAGAGTGATGGATTGGTGTAGACCTTGTCGTGGGATCCTTGTGAGTGATTGTAAAAGTTGTTGAAGTTGTTGGAATGTTTTGAACGAGCCAGAGTCGAAAGTGCTAGGAGATGAGTATGATTTCAAGAATGGTAAGTGTTGGTACTGGTACAAAGAAATTATATTATGGTGTTATCGTAAGGTGTGTAATAGTATGTCGCTGCATGACATCGGTGTTCGCGTTTTTAGATAACTTTAGAAATTCATATCTTGTGTTCTGAGTATCTGATTCATGTTCCATTTGAACATGGGAGGAGATAGAAATATAATATATCCTATGAAAGTGTTTTCG